GTGAGCAGTGCGTAGGGAGCAGTGTGTAGGGAGCAGGGAGCAGTGCGTAGGGAATGCAGGTCATGAGTTTCCCGCAAAGACATCTTCAGCGAATGGAAGGATGCCACTCGAGAGACGCTTCCGCGTTGAGTCACGTGATCTGTAAAGGCTACTCCGATTGGTTGATCTTTTGACGTTCAGAGGAATATAAATGCATATAAGTACCTATGAAATATGATTGATCATTTGTACTTTCTTAATGCAAGTTCCTGTCTTATTCCTCATGATTTATCGGTGCACGTTTAATCAAATAATAAAAAATAAAAAATGTAGATCTCATATCATTTTTTTTTTTTTTTAGATCTCATATAATAATAAAAATCATAATTTGCTCCGCCTCTCGTCATCAGTCTTCTCTTATATTGTAACCCGACCAACGGGCTCTCCCTGCAACAGATATAAGATATAATTGCGTAAATAATGATAATAGCTTTCCGGGAAAATAATAAATTAGAGGATTTACAACATACATTTAGTAGCTACCTTATTACAAAATCTCATAATCATATAATTCAAACCAATCCAGTATCCAGTACTGAAAATACCCCAGGAAGATTACAAAATAAAACATCAACATCATATATATAAACAATAGCTGTCAGAATAAAACGTTTTAAACACTATAGGTCACATGTTAAACGCGTGTCGTTGTGTAGGTTGTATTTTTCCATATTTTGGATGCTACTGCTTCTACTGCTTTACTACAATTCAATTTCAGCGTACATTTTTGGACAATTTTTATTGTACCGATTGCTTAAATATAATAAATAATAAAATAACAATCATAAAACAATGGTAAAATAATAACAAAGCACGCGAAAAATTAATAACGACATTTAATAATAATAATAATAATAATAAAATACAGGAAACGGAAGCAGAAGTGACAGCAGTGCTGGCCGCGGACGCAGAGCGGCGCGTCTTGATCCGCGTGGAGCCTCTAGTTTCCTCCTCTGACGCGCTTCTGCTGCCTACTGAGAGATCACGGGCGCCATCTTGGATCAAGAGAGGCTTTCAAACGGGAAAAAGTCGAAGAGGCAGGAAAGAAAACAACAACAACCGTTAAACACCCGCAAACCCGTTCGCTCGGACCGGCGGCGAGAATGACACTCGGTCTGAAGTCATGACATCTGCTTTAAAGCACTTTTTAGAGACTCGGACGAAGTAAAGCAGCATCAGCCGCCGGAGCGGGAGGTTTCCTCGTCCGCTGGGAAAGTTGTTGTGTTGTGTGTGTATGTGTCAGCTCGCTCAAGAACACCTTTACCTGTCCGACATGACCTCAGCCAATTCAGGTATCGTATAAAACCCCAATGCTTTCCTCTCAACCGTCTGCTTTGTGTTGAGTTTGCTCATTGTAAGAGTTGTGCTAGTTAGCTGCTGCTAGCTCAGCTGTTGTGATGTAGCGCTAGCCTGCTAGCTCACGGAGGAAGAACTGGACAAGAGTAAGGGTTTGCATCCAGACGCGGGCTTTATGACTTGAAATAAAAATAAACGTGTCTAAAAACAAAGAGAGACACATTCAAGCCGTCGCTTTTAGTCGTGACGGGTTAGCGATGTTATGAGTGTGTTATTGTCTGATAGCAGCAGTGTGTAAAGCCAGAGCTGGTGTACAGGCGATCTGGATTAAATAAAGAGATTCCAAAAGTTTTCTAAACTTGTGATTAGATTAAATTACATTTTAAAATACTCGGAATCAGACTACAGTTACTGTGTTATCGATTGCATGAGTACATATTATTCACACAGTGGCAATAAATTATTCATAATGTATGGATTCTCCCTAATTCATCTTTTAAAAGTGCCTTGCTGAAATATCCCAGCGCTTGTGTGCATTCAGAAAGTCCTCCAGTGTTGTGGGCATTCACACAGAGATCAGTCGTGAGGCTATAATTACACAGGAAGCACATTCATTTTAGTTGAATTATTATCAGTAGGTTATGTGATGTAGTATAGTGTGTTTGGAAGGCTTTTTTTAATTTAAAACACATTAAAATGCACAAATTCTCGTTATTTCTTATTTGCATGTAATACAGGCATTCCCAAACATTTATTTTTTTGGTCATCTGAACCTCGTTCGCCTGATATATTTACTTAATTATTAAAATAATTTATTTTAAAATCTACATGTGTGGCATGTTCTCAGTTAGTGGTCACATGACATGCAGGTAAACAAATAAAATGCTTACATTTTTTACTAAGTGTTTCATTTTGGTTGATGGTATTTTAAAATGATTTGTTTGCATTTTACATTTTTATGATTAAATTATTTGCTTTTCCGTAAACTCACGAAACCCCTGCGGTTCATGTCGTGTAAAAATAATGCACTTCATGTCATCAATAACAGCAAATGGAATATATTTTCTTTTTCTCTGAATTCTTATATCTAGGGATGCACGATATATCGGCCACCATATCGGTATCGGCCGATAAACGCTCATTTTTTCTGTTATCGGTATCGGCCTGATAAGAAAATTTGGCCGATATCTTAAAGCCGATAAATAATGCATTATTTCCTTCAGAGACACTTCAGATGCGCGCTGTTCGTTTGCAGCCTTTTGTGCAATTGTACGTTGTAATATTGTGTTTATTTGATGTATATCTGATTTATCTCATATAGAATGCGTTTGGTTAAGTTAAGAGTGCTTCAGTTTACCGGTGATCGTCTTTAGCTCAGCGCACGCAGCTCAAACAGCAGTGCACAACATTAATAACTATGATTGGGAATGTCGTGTATATAACATTCTAATGAGAACATTATTATAATAAAACGTTGTGAATTCTTTGGGTTTAGTTGCCGTGTTTCAGCGCGTTGTTATGGGAAGAGCGCATCCACAACAGGATCACACATTCTGACTATAGCATGCAATAACTGCGTCATTTGTCATTTCATATATAAGTTGTAATATTATGTTTATGTTGTATTAATATTAATCTCAGGATGCATTTCCTTGAGTTAAATAAGCTGCCAGCAAAACGCTTCAGTTTACCGTGTTCATTCAGCTCTTCAGCTTCAGCTTGAGCTGCAGCTCAATGGCTGCTATTTAAAACAGTGGTATTAATTTGTTACTTTTTCAAAATCATTGATATATTATTAATAACAACAACCACTTGTATTTTTCTCTTATTATTTTCATCAACAATATGGTTTAGTAATTAAAATCATTTAATTATTGTCCGTGCAGAGGCTATTCTGTTTTATTGATCTGTGGCGCATTCATTTTGATTCTTTACATGTGTAATGATGTCCAGTGACTTGTTTGCATTATTTATGCATTATTTTATTTATTTGTAAGACTTTTTTATGACTAAATTTGGTAATGGGAGAGTAAAAATATTTTTAAAACGTACACCGTTCAAACTAGGCTGCTTATGTTGAAGTGTTTGGGATGTGGCTTTTAATGATGAGACCTTTTTTGTAATCAGGCTCTCAAAAAGTATATAACAATTTGGATATAGATTTATCGGCCAACATATCGGTTATCGGCTTTCAAAAATAAAGAATAATCGGTTATCGGTATCAGCCAAAATGTTCATATCGGTGCATCCCTACTTATATTGATATGGTACAATATTATCCTGTTATATTTTTCCGTGTTTGCCGCCATGTAATTAAATAAACCAAATCTCACCCGGTAGGGTCTACTTAGGTTTGGACCAAATGCTGGTTTATATTTATTGATTATGTTTGTATTAAAGATATGCAGCATTAAAGGAATATTTTCATTTAATTATAATTTTTTTATGCAGGACACAAGAACGTGGGACACGGCTAATTATATTTTTGATCATTATCATTATGACAAATTACAGAGAAGTTCAAAAGAAGAGTATTTATTTGAAACATTTGTAACATTTTAAATGTCTTTCGATTATGAATGCGTTTCCTTCAGAATCTAGATATAATGGTGATGTTATCGCAAACAATATTTACTGAAATGCTTGATGAATAGAAAGTTCAAAAGTACAACATTTATTTGTTAAATCAATAAATAATTAAATTGCATAAATGATCATATATATCATATAAAGGCTTTGGAGATTAATGTACATAAGCAATTTTACTGGTCATAATTTGATATCATCTAAACTGAGCGTTGTGCTGCGAAACTGCAGAATGCATTTCTTTAGCCTCTCTCTCTCTTTATATATATACTGTATGTGGGTCAGAGATGAAAAAAGGATTTAAGCATAAAAACAATAAGTGTATTACTGCTTTAAATTGTTGTTGTTTTCCCCCCAAAAAATAAAAAAATGTTTAATTTAATTGCAATTTTGTTTTACATTTACAATATCATAAATTTTGTTTGCATATTTACATCAAAAATCAATTTATGACATATTAAAAGACTAATTACCTTCACCCCAAATACTAATTAGTTGTAATTTTACATTTTTTAAATGTGCCACTATCCTAGGTTTTGTCCACTTGTCAGTAAGAATGTTTAACTCATTTAAAACACAGTCAAATTTAATATGCTCCCTTATTCTTTTATATATTTTAATATGTACACGTCAGAATAAGCATGTTGTTTGAATTTTTACATAAATATTGTGTTACACTGAATGACGATGTAACATTATTTTTACATTTTATTTTCCAAAAATGTATTTGAAACCTTAAAAGTAGACACTTTACTTACATTTAATATGCTTTCTATGGACATATAATCACTTTTGTACATTTCTTTTGATGCGGACATCTCTTAACCTCTTTGACCCTATTATATATATATATATATATGTATAAATATACTGTGACTGTGTAGTCATTAGTGGTGAGTGTTTGATTGGATGCGTGTGTGTTTCAGATATACCTGAGGTGCCGTCTCTGGCCACAGCATCTGGATCTCTTGCTAACAGTGTTGTGCCGAAGGCCAACAACAAACGACAAGCCACGTAAGTCTGACCGAGCCGTCTACACGACAGATTCAACAGTACCAATCATTATTAAATCAGTGCTGAAATGCTTCTGGCAGCGTTCAGTTGATCTCATTGGTCAAAACATGGTTCTGTCTTCTTTTCACTTTGCTGTGTTCTGTGGAGCTCAGAAGGAAATGTTTTGGAAAATGTGCAAACTGATTTTTCCATGAAGTGGAATTACATGGGCACTGGTTTAAAAGACCATTCATATTAAGTAATATTATCAGTGTGACCGCATTGACACTGCCAGATGAATAATGACACTATTGTCTTCTGTAGAGCTGCTTTACGGCTGAAATTGAATTTGTTTCATAAGTGATGCGTTTTGCAACATTATAACACTGTTATGTCCTGCTTGAAATCATCCGTGTTGGATAAAGTGCTATAAATTAATAACTTGACTGACACTTTCAAGCTCCACAAAGGACAAAAAAAAACACCATAATTGTACAGAATGCTCCTAATATGAAGTTTATGACACTTGCTTTGTGTCATTTTTGGAGCTCGACAGCGTTGAACATTTCTCCTGGTGTCTCCTTTTGGGTTACACAGAAGAAAGAGGGTCACAGGGGTTTGGATGATGACAGAACGCTCATTTTTGGGTGAACTGTTCCTAAATGCACACCATGCGTGACCGGAGAGCTGAATGTGGTTTTGCCAAGCGTTGCTTCCCAGAGGCAAATTCACAGGAATAACACTTTGGCTTTGGCCAACAATAGTGTGCTTGTTTATTGAGTGTCTGTGGCTGATTTGATCCAAGTGGGTGGAGAAATGCGGGAATGTTTGAATGTTGCTCTTGTGCAATATTACTGACTAATGAGAATTTCCCTGGTTTCCAGCTCGGACTATGACGACGACGAGGGAAGCAAATTGTTCAGGTTAGTCATGACGTGTGACTGGAGGGTTTGAACTGTGACGGGCTGCCTGTCTTATGACTGTGCTCATCAACGTGTCCTTCTTTGTTTTGTTTTCTCAGGTGTGATGATGATGATGATGGAGGCGGATCGAATGACAAGGAGAAATTTGCCAGGTATTGAATGATGGAAATCAGAATGCATTGAAAGTATAAATATGATCATCTGATCTTCTGTAAGTTCTCAAGTATCAGAGTTGACCGGTGTTTCCTACGTGTGCTGGCTTCATTATGGTATTCATAGTGAAGTTTCCAAACACGCTTCCCGTCCTCCATTGTTTGGCTGAACAGACAGTCCTGATCCAAACTCATGCCTTTGATTCAGCCAACGTTGTTAAATCAACCAATGTTTTTTTTTAAACAATATCTTTGTCTTTGCATATCATTTAATCGGATTGCCAAATGTAAAGAAAATTTTACACAAAGTTTAATGCACAAAAAATGTAAATGCACATTTAAAAATGCACAATAACTTTTTATTTCCAGGATGATGGATGCCCTGAATTAAACATGAAATATAATGAGTTAATGTAAAGAATAAATAAATAAAAGTAGCTTACTGCTGTTTGACACATTTAAGGCAAATGTTTTTTCATGCACTGATCAATTTTTCAGAGCCATTCGGGTTTTATAACATGTCTTCTTTCAGACTAGTGTAAACATCCAAAAATACACATTTAAGTGTTTATTGTATTACACTTCACCTTTTTGTATTTGATTTCGATTACAATGCATAACTCCACTTCAGCAGCACTTGCATGCTTCAAACTTTAGTTTTATTCCCATCTGTATTCTGAAGAGTTTTTTAGAGGGGCTTGTATCATTCCCCTCATTTATATAATATTTCATTGGTGAAAATATATATTTAATGGCTGTTGACAGTGTTTTATGATTTATGGAGAGATAAAAAGTGAAATCCGAACCAGGTTAAAACCTGTAACACTAATACATCAACAAAATGAAAGAATTTTGAGCCTGGCTTCATCCGGTGTTCATGTAGCGTCTTGCTTCAAGTCTCTGATATATTTCAAGTGAAACTGAAGTACAAACAGGTTCCTTTTGAACAAAATCTGTCCAAAATGCTTTTGAGCTCATTTCTCGCGAGCGCAAACTTTCTTGAAAAACTTTTGAACTGCCATTGATGATTG